ATATATATTTTAATTTACCTTCATTCATTTTATGTACATAGTAGACAAGTTTTTAGAAATTTTTTAAAATCAAAAATATTTATTCATTTATTTTAAATGCGGCCAGCTCAACAAGAAACCGAAAGTTGCCAAAAATAAAATTTTTAAAGCTCTGTTTTAAACGTTAACGCTTTTAACAATTCATCATCAGCACATTTAGATAAAAAAAAAAAAAAAAAACATATACACACTCACATACATACGTAAACTTAGTTTCTAGCTCTTCCTAAACCCAAAAACAAAAAATAAATAAATAAAATGAAATCGAAAGCAAAAAGCCAAAAACAATTGTGTACCTCTATCTAGTAGTACTTCTTCAATTTTGTTTATGAATTATTATTTTGTATACTTGGCACAAATCAATTGTAAGCTCGGCTTACACTATGCAACAAACTTTGCCTTTTATTTTCACACCTTATTTCTTAATGAATGCAGATGCAAAACAAATTTTAAAATATGAATATTATATGTATATAGACTTTTCTAGCTTCTTTTACATGTCAGCAAAAGCCGAGAGCTGTTTAAATTGTCATTTCACATTTATTTGAATTATGAATTAAGTTTATAAAATTTTGTTAAAAAAATATTCAAAAAATGTAATTAAATTTATTTAAATTGACATCCAAGTTTATTAAATTAGTTGCCAAACAGTTTAACAACTGAAATATACAACTGTAAATGCCAAGAAATCTGTTAGGATATGCTCAAAGTCAGCTATAAAAAGCTAAATGCTAAAGGGTAAATGCAAAATGTTAATAGCTAAAAATGTCTAATGCAAATGTTGAGCTAGGAAATAAAATCATTTCGTTATTTAATTGACTCTAAAAAGTGAGTTTTTATACAAGCTGAATGCATTTTGACTGTTGCATAATATTTTAAATTTTATTTTAGCTGTTTTTAACACATTTTTAAAAACATATATTGTACATAGGTATATGCAAAATCAAAGAAAAAGAAAAAAAAAGTCTAAAAAAAAAATTAAATCCCAACTAGTTGAAAAGTAAACAATTTTACGATCTCTAATGGAATATGCATGGGTGTAAATCATATTATATATGTATATCCTCCATATATGTATTCGTTTAGTGTAGGAATCCGAAACTAAGAAACAAAGGCAGCAGAATAATTTTTGTGTAGAATGTTTACAACTCGAGCTTGATAAAGTAAATGTAAATTATAAATTTCATAACTAATCGTAAGAACATAGAAGAACAAAAGCAAAAAAAAAATCAGCTGAATGCCACATACTATATATACATACATATATATATGTATATGTATATATAACTGTATGTATATTTACATAGTGCAACTGTTGTTTAAATATGTAAAGGTAATGCGGATTTACTTACTCCAACAAGGCAAATGCAAATATGGAAAAAAGCTGTCGGGCTGCTCGACTAATTAATACTCGCTCACGTTGAGCTACTTGAGGTAGTATCAAATAAATATGTTCCGACTTACCAAGCCAAGTACAAAATTTAATTCCAGCTTCTCCGAATCAATCTAAAACTTTATTATTTTTTTTTTTTCTGTAAATGTTTTAATCGAATATATATTCTGAAAGCCAATCTACCCTATTCAACTTCGTAAGCGAGTATTGAAATTAAGAAAAAAAATGATTTAATAAATAATAGAAGGCAATATATATACAAATACTATGCAAGCAAATATTTACACAGCTCCAAAAACCAAACACACACACATAATGACGCCCCCATTTATTTTTTGTATTTTATGGGAAAACGCTCCAACGGATTTTTGATTTTTGATGGGAAAAACAAACAATTGCTCATTAAACGCAAAACAAAAAAATTAATCATATAAGAATAATAGGAATTATAATATAATAAATGAGCAAAAATCAATAGCGATAAATGTCAGTAAATAGCGAATTTTTTCCCTTCTCATAGATGCTCGATAAGCTTCAACAAATAAATACATATATATTTATATATATACATATAGCTGCTGCACGTATGTAGTATTAAATAAGCTCTGTGTATAGTTGAGAGATTTTTGATTTTACTATATATATATATATACACAAATATATAGTATTTGGTTTTCGCTTCAAATTGTTGTTGTGGCTCTATACGGCATGGAACTGATATTTAGCTTTTGGTTCACATCATACACAAATACATTTATTTACTATTTCTACTTGCAAGACCATGTATATATAAATATATA